GGAAAGAGTTGTAGTCCACTTCAGACTCAAGGTGTAATCATGTTGTATGTTCAAATTGTATAGAATTGGTTTATGATCCCACTCTGATCGGATGTTTTAAATTTTTCTAAAAAAACAGCAAAGGCACATTGTGAGTAAGTTCAGAGAATGCACGTAAAATCACTGTATTTTAACTGTAATCTGATTTAGGTCTGATATGCGATAAATCAATCTGGTTTCAAAGAAATTACAGGCCAGTGACAGCTGCACCATGGTAGGATTACACAGGAATTTGGTTTAAAATGAATCCAGCATCTTCAAAATTTACATGTGGCACCATTATAGCAGTGGATGCTGAGGAACCTGGCCTCATCCTGCCATTGCTAACACTTGCAACAGAGAGTGGGGAACTGCGCTGCTGAGACATCTGAATTATTTGGAGGTGACTCAGCTTTGATTTGGGTGCCTTAGGAGCTTGACACATTGGTCGGGCTACTCAGTCTGGCTGAGGTCAGGGCTTATGATGTCATCTGGGCTATACAGTGTCTCAGTCCCCTGCTGAGAGGTCCATAGTTGCACTTGGTGTATGACATTCACCCCAGATATCTGGTATGCTTTGGCTGACACATGATTTATGCTGAAATTTGTGAAGCTTCCAGGCTTTAAGTAAATTTTCAGAAATGATGGTTTTGTGAATCCCTGTAGATAATATGGGCCAGTTTATGTTGTCCATCCAAAAAAAGCATTGTAGTTTGCAAAGCATTTTCCATTTCTGTCAATACCAGGTCAGGTAGTTATCACTGATCATAAACAGTTCAATTTCTTAGCACTATTAATACTATTAGTATTATGATTTAAGGACATAAGTCACTGCCAGGGTCCCTCACCATGAACTGCCATGTGTAATTTATACTATAACTAGTCAAATTTTTCATGTTCTTTTTGGAGAAATGATTTTCTGCATATTTTTGATTTTTTTGCACCTGTAACTGGCCTGCTCAGTTCTAAGGGTAATGGATGAGGCAAACCCTTGAGGTGGCTTTTGTATGAATGGACAAAGCAGAAATAGAAGTTTCCAGGTGAGAAGAATCACAGCTATTTCTATAGCATGGTTTATGCAAGAGTCCTGAAGATGGTACTAGGAAAGTTGTATATGAAGATCAACGCCTTAGGGATTTGATTTTGAGCAAGATCTTTTCCTTTGTGTTTCAGTGGCTGTTCCCTCACCAGTGCCAGCTTGTGAGCCTGAGCCCAAAACTAACGGGCATTTCCCATCTCCACGACTCTCTGTTTCCCCCCGAGCCACTGTTGTTGCTGCCATGGAAGCCCCTTCTCAAGGCCTGCAGACAGTCATGAAGTGGAAAACAGTGGTGGCCATCTTTATAGTGGTGGTAGTGTACCTGGTGGCGGGAGGACTTGTCTTCCGTGCCCTGGAGCAGCCCTTCGAAAGCCGACGGAAGAACACAATCGCGCTGGAGAAGGCTGATTTCCTGCGGGAGCACATCTGTGTGACTCAGCTGGAGCTGGAGACACTGATTCAGGTAGGCCATGTGAAGAAGACTGTGCTTCTTGGAAGTTAGAGTAAAAAGCTTGGTAGTTCATTGATAAGCTGAGTTGGTGGGGTTGGTGTTGTGTTGGCTGTTGGTGTTCAGTTGTTGGGGAACAAAATTGTTCACAGAGCCCTTGCAGTGGGCAGTGTGAAGAGCAGGCTTTTCCCCAGTCATTTTAAGGTCTGAGAAACAGAAACTATGTCTCCAAAACATTGTAAATATAGGTTACATGTATTCACTACAATGATGAAAAATGTGTGCAAAGAAAAGCAAAACTTAATATCCGGAAGAAATTTTTGTGAGAGGTGACAGACTTGCAAGACACTTGCCAATCATCTGTGTAAATTTTCAAAGGTGTTCTTAATTCTTCCTCCAAAAATAAACACAGCAACCAGGAGAGCAAACACAAAATGATAAGTGGGAATTATGAAATAAATATTCAGCCAAGAATTCTGAATTTAGCAGTATATTAATTTGCAGGCTTACCATTATGATTTTTACATAAATGAGGGATGATTAATTAAAAATAGAAAATAATTGTCATTTAAAAGATATGGAATTTTTAGACTGGTCTAGTATGCAAAATTTGAGAATGAATTTTGAAGGAAATAAATATAAAATATGCAAGGATAAGTGGAAAATGTGCAAGAAAGGTCTATCGAGGATAGATTTATCTTTCATTGACTAAAACTCTAGACAAGGAAAGTTTTATGGATCCTACAAGACTTCAGTAGAGTATCTTCTAGGATCCCATGGAGAAGCCTATCAGCTAGCCTGGGAAAAATAAAAAATAGATAAGAAATATGAGATACCTAAGGAATATATTCCAAAGTTGAGCCTCAGCTTCATATTTCAGATCTGAATTTGTGTCTGAGCCTTTCAAGAGCACAGTCTGTTTTTCTCTTGAGGTGTTGCACCAGAACTCTGTTTTGATTTCATTGTTGAAAGAACACAGAGCTGTCCCCTGGATTCTTGTGTCTGTCCACCCAGCTGTGCTATAAAAACCTTTCTATAAGTGAATCAAATTTATAAGCTTATTTTTTTTAAGAAGCCGTTCCATTACCTCATTGATGTGATAGAAAAGGCCTTCTCCTACTTTTCAGCCTAGACTTCTTTGTGGATAGATGTGGGCTCTCCTTGCTTGTGCTCTGTGTTCACAGAAGGCAGATATTCTAAACAAATGTTATCATCCTCTGAGATTTCAGTATGTCCTCAGGCATTACACTGGGTAACTGTGAGTCATTTTGCAGAGGTAAATTAAATGGGTTTAGCAGCTTAGCATGTGAATGTCTTAAGGTCGAGTGATGTGAAATATTGAAACAGATTTGTCAATAAAGAACAAGTTTCTTTGGATTCTTCTGTATGTCTGGGTTTGAAACTGGCTCCAGGGATGTAGTTGAGTATGCTGATACAGAACAGTGAAGCACTGCTTGAAGATAATGTCAGGGGGTTAACGTTGTGCTTTCATGCCTTCATGTCGATGATCTCAAAACTGACATACCCCTGGCTGGCATAATGCATTTCTGCATTGCTCCAAATGCTGCATCTGCCTTTACAACTGTGAGTTCAGACTGATGTGGTAACCCCTGTGTGTCCTGGCTGCTGTGCTGTGTGCAGTCAGCACCTGGCTATCGCTAGGGGAACTATTCATAACTCATATTATTTGACTACCTGGAAGCTTTTAGGTGAGCACAGATCATATTTTCCAGAATGACTGTGTTGATTCATCTCTGTGCTTTGGAGAATATGGAAAAACACAAAAAGAGAGACCTTAGAACTACTGAGTATTATTTTACTGTGGGAGTGGCCGTGGAACAATCTTTTAAGGAAAAAAAACCCTTACACCTGAGTATTATTTTACTGTGGGAGTGGCTGTGGAACAATCTTTTAAGGAAAGAAAAACCCCTTACATGACTAATGATGGAAAAATTTAGAGCTTTGCCTAAATTTCAATCTTTCAAAGGATTCTCCTTTGGAAAACCTGTAAGGAAGATGCATGGCACTGTATGAGGGAGATGTTAAAATTTAGTGGGGATGGGACATCATTTCCATCTTTATCTCCAGTAACCCATTGAAAATACTAGCACTGGTAGTACAGATGTGAATTGCTGAGTCCAGACTTGGAAGTTCATTCACAGACTTCAAAAGTAATACAGTGATGAAACCAATGGTGAAAGCAAATCCCTAGGAAGATTCAAAATATTTTACATTTGTATCTGTCTCTTGGTTTTGGTTCAGGTCTGTCTAATAATAACACAATGACAGGTAATTTTTACTCAACAATACCAAGTGTTTCACAGTGCAGTCTCGATTGTCCAAAGTCACCTGAAGTAGAAGTTCTTATCTGCACATTTTTAAATCCCATTTCTGCTTCTTAAGATATTTGATGCAGTGAGGCAAGTACACTATTTGATGCCTTAGGTTATGTATAGCTTAGCAAAATAGCGAATACCAGGTTAAGAAAGTGACAAAATTGCATTATATCTTGACACTTTTGAGTTTTCAGAGGTAAAGAGAACCGAAATGCAGAATAATGCTAAAAGACAATGAAACTTAAGGTGCTTCAAGTACATTAAGCTGTATTATACCTGTTAGATCAAATAGAAAAAGGTATCAGGTGACTGGACATAGAGTTGAAAAGGAAAACAAGATTAGTAGGTAGATCTGCTAACATGCTACAAAACCTTTTTTTTTTTTTGTTCTTATGTGTCATAACATAAGCTTATTGGTATCTGTGGTCAAAAAGAAGTCATCTTGCCTTTGTAATAATGCACATGTAGAGTGTGTAATGGGGAGGTTATGGCTCTCAGAAAGATCAGATGTTATTTAGCATTAGGAGAGGCAGGAAGACCATCATTGTGTTTTGGCAAAGTAATTCCAAGGGACCTGATAAGGTTATTCATGCTCTCTTTCTATGTATCCTGTGCACTATATATGAGTAAAAACTTTCATAATGAGCCCTGCTTTCATAATGAGCCCTGCAAAATGATGCAAGATAGAGTGGCTTGCTACTGTAAGAGGTTACTTATGTTATTGGCAGGCTGCTTTCTTCTTCCTTGTCCTTTGGGGTTTAATTTAGTAGTGTGAGTGATTATAGTATATAAAAAAAAAATCACCCACCTGGGAACTAAGTCATATTATCAATGTCCACTAATGACTACAGCAACTCATTAGAGCTAGCCTGTAAGCTGAAAAGGAAGCAGAGCTGGAAATAAGCTAGTCAGGCTTTACTGACTAATTATATTAGTAAGAGTTCGTATTTTGGATAGGCACTTTTGATTAGTGTTCTGAACTAGTTTTGCCCTGAAGGTAAGCAAGAAAGGGAACATCCTGTAAAGATGTTAGGGTGTGCAGCTGCTTGCTTGATTCACTAGTGTCATAAGCCAGCTTCTCTTTTCCTAGTGTTTCCTTGTAAAATGAAAAGAATTTCATGTGCTTGAAGAAAGCTCGAGGTCGTGCAGGAAAAGAATAGTACTTTGAATTAACTATGGGGAAGACTTGCCTGTTGCTGAAGACAGGAAAAGAATATTTGAACTGTGAAGAAAAACAATGGCAAATATCTGATTACTGAACCTTCTGCCTGTGCCTCTGGAGGTTGTCTTGTCCCAGCTTCCCTTCTGCCCCAGTCTTTATTTTGCCTTATTCCTCCTAAAAGGATCTGAAAAAAAGAATTCATATCTCTTAGGTCCTGTCCTAGTTGGTCCAAGCACCCTAGTTTGTAACTTCAGTCCACTGAGCCTAGGATGCTGCCCAAGTCTGCAGCTGTCCCGTAGCTATGCTGCTTCCAGAACTTAGCTAAGATGTTTGCAGGGAAATAAGCCCTTTGGGCTTAGATTTCTATGCATATCCCTTGTTGAATGCTGTAGGTCTGCCCTCAGACACAGTACATGCATGGCAATCAAATCACTACAAGTGTAGGCAGATCACTAGCTGATTGTCACCTAAAGACCTTTGTGGCACAGGCAGAAATATTTAAGGAATGTGCATATAAATTTTGATTATACCTGAACAATAATTGCTGGCTTTGGTCCTTTGAAAATGCTGTTGTGGGAAAGTGAATAAATGGGAATTTATAATGAGAATCCCTTAATCACTGTATAGAGGGTGGCACAAATAAGTAGAGAGGTAGGGAGTATAGAGAAAAGGTATTAAGGAATTAGTTATTAAAATGTGCTTGCTAGTGAGAAGCATCCTAAAAATTCTAATAGAGAAACATCAGAGCATGAAAGGCAATTGAAACAATTTTTTGTATGCCTGATAGAAATCTGCTTGGAAAAGAATTGTAGAGGGAGATAATCATTATAGGATTAGCATGATCTGTGGAAAGGAATTAATAGAACTAGAAGAGAGATGACAATTTTCTTATCAAATTCTTATCCTTGGTTCCACATAGGGTAGGTTCAACCTTTGAGTGGCTCAGCACTCAAGAAGGGTAATCTACTCATCCGTGAAAAAGATTTGTCATCATGCTTGGAATGTTACTGTAGGAATTACAGAAACATGACCAAATGAACCAGATAAAAGCCTTTCTTCCCGGAGAAATCAGAAACAATCTGTTTGGTTCCTGCCTCCCCATCAGCTGCACTAGCTGCCAGGCATCTTGTTGCTTGTGGGCATAACTCTAGACTTTTTCTTGATATAATCATCTTATTTAGTGATCAAGGTACCTAATATATTAGTGAAATCTGGCATGTACTTCCTCACACACCAGGGAGGATCATTTATGTGAGCATCTGTGCAGAGTGAGGGCCACCTACACCCCAGGAGACAGGGAGCTGGCAGCTGTGGACCCTGCCACAGCCAGCCAGGGAGGATAGCTGTAGGCAGCCAGGGGCATCCCCTAGCCCAGACTGTCAGGTACTTCCTTGGGGTTGGGGACAAGCTGAGGCTGGGCTGGGACATCAGCCCACAGGTCCCAGCTTGACAGAGCCTGTGGCTGGGCAGGGCAGAGCTGCAGTAAGCTGGAGCCCAACACTTGTGCGGGGTTGCTGAGTCAGGGACAGTGAAACCCCAGTAGTTTCTGTTTGGTAGAAGGAGAATGTCATTGATTTTATCCATAGGAAAGAGATACTATTTTGTTCTTGGAAGGAGAACTCTTGATGCCTGGTGAGACAAGTTAGTGCTCACTGTACCTTTCTCTGGATTTTGAGTCCATATACTAACAACTAGGCAGCCTAGGGTGGCCCATCCCTCATAGTCATTAAATATTGCTGCCTGATTATCAGCAAGTGGAATTGATAAAGCCTGTTGCAGACCGAGATGGAGTTTGGATTGCACTCTCTTTGGAAATCCAAAATTCAGTTGTCCCAGTATCACCAAATATGCTGGGCTTTAATGAGGAACTTGCCTTCAGTCCCACGCAGACCTTGTCACCAGACCATGTCTTTTTGGTTACAGAGGAACTGTAGTGTGCTGATACCAAAAGGGCTGAGAGTAAAATACAGATGTACAATGGTAGGGAGCCAAATTGAAAATTGTGATCAGAAATGCATGTTTAAGACAAATACTATTGAGTACTTGTATTTACTTTGGTAGTTTTGTCATTTCCTTCATGCCTATCTGCCTGTTGGCTTTAGCACACATCTGCTACTTGAATAGTGATAAAGACAATTTCAGCCCTTTGAGGTATGCCAAATTATTGCCTTCCTTGAATGGGTGGCATTTCAAAAGAAAAATTAGCCTAGATTGGTATTTATTCATTAAGTAAGTGTGCTCTTTCAATTAATAAAGTATACTGTGTACTTGTGTACTGTGCTTGTAGCTCCTCTTAAGGAGGAAGGGATCAGGAGAGGAGTAAGTGTGAAACAGCTTTGGATACTTTGATGACCTGTTACTTTCAATGAAATTTTAACTATAAAAATAGCTGAAACTGCTAGTTTAAAATGTCTTAAATATGCAAGGTTTGTCAACAGAGT